AGACAACAACACAACATAATTAGGAGAGAGTTTTATTTTAATAATTATAAGAAACAAACTTGTGAACCTGAATAGGAAAATGACAGCAGTAAAAAAAAAAACAGAAAAAAAAAAAAAACCGGACTGAAATAAACTAGTACCAAATCAAATGACCCCTTTCCAAGTGGAGGACAGAAAAAACAACCCAGTTGGAGGGTGGGAGGCACCTCCAAGCCAGAGACAAAACTAAAGAATGACACCCTTCAGGTTCCCTCCACACAGAAACAGGATCACTGTGGTGCGTTGCAGAGGACCCCTCCTCCCTGGCGGCCCTCTAGGCGAGGAGGAAGAACCTGGGAAGCCCCAGGAGAGGCAGATCCCGCAGGTTTCCAGTCCCCTGGGTAGCCGGGAGTCCACCGGGAGGCTGGGGGCTGTGTGGGATGAGACAGAGGCCACCCAGGGGAGGCATTCCTGAGGACTTGAACTCAGGGTTCCTTAAATTCAGCCGATTTCTCTACTCCTGAAAGGGATGAGCATAATCCCGCCTCGGGACCTTCGCCCGCCCTGTTCTCTCTTCTCCGGAGGCCACACAGCAGACACGTTAATGTCCTTTATGTTCTACTCAGAAGTGTGAACACCCCATCTAATATTTCAACACCCTACCTCTCACTATTCATACACTTTATATCCTACTGTCCTGCTTTTTCTTAACAGCTAGCATTATCAATACATTTTATTTATCTTATTGTCTTGCTTCCTTACTAAAATGTAAGATCCACGAAGACAGACTATCGTCTGGTTTTTGTTACAGCCCGAGGGACTGGAGGTCAGTGGTGCAACCAGTGGGAGACCAGGGAAGGCTGGACGAGGCCAGTTAGGCTTGGCGCACGGTGCCCTGCCTCTCGCCCCGCCTGGTGCTGCAGACCCACACATCAGGCAAAGTCATCCCCAAGCATTCGTGTGAGTCCCCCAAGAGGATCTCACATGTACCAGTGAACAACCAATGAACAAGCCTCGTCACCCAGGGCCTTCATTCTGATCAGGATTTATGTCATAGGGTAGCAACTTATCCTCCAGAAAAATTCCGCTGTTAAAACCTTTTAAAGCTGTAAAGAAGCTGTTATTAGTCCGCTGTGGTGGCTCACACCTCTAAGGAGGCTGAGGCTGAGGCAGGAGGATCGCTGCACGTTCCAACCAGCCTGGGCTACCAAGTGAGTTCAAGGCCAGCCTGAACTGCGCAGTGAAACCCTATCTCAAAAAGAAAAAACAAGGAGGAGGAGGAGAAGGAAGAGGAGGAGGAAAAGCTTTTTACAGAGTCATAAAATCATAATGCTATGGCCTGAGGGCTTAGCTAAGTGGTAGTGCTTAGAATGCTTGAGGTGTACAGGGTTCAAAGACCAGCACCTCCCTAAAAAGCTGTAGACCTTAGAAAGAGACCTTAAAAATCCGCCTCATCTTAATCCTGTGAATAGCAGTTCTGCTTAACGAGACCTATGGTAATGGCTCAGTTGCATGCCCAAGCCGAGACCTGACCCCAGAACCAGGACTACATTGCTGGCCACACTGAGTGTGACAAACCTGCAGAGTCCTGCTGAACTTTGTCCTCTGAACGCACAGACAGCTGTTTTGAATAGTTATCAGGCAAAGCCAGTGAGGGGGTGGGCAGGGATTGCTGTTTGGAAAAGAACTTTGGCAGTCTGACTCAAAAGCCTTAGCCAGGTCTATGCCCTCTCGTGCAAAAATTCCAAGTCTCCAAAATTTATTCAGATAAAAAGCAAAATCAGAACATCTCTGTAATGGTCCCTTCTTTTTACCCACCCCATTTCTCATTTCTTTTAGTAACAATCCTCTCTCATCCATCACTTATACCAGCACGTTCGACTCTTATTAAATTTTAACCAGATAATATTTGTTAAAATTTTTTTCTTGTCAGGTGTGGCACACACCTGTAATCCCAGCACTTGGGAGGCTGAGGCAGGAAGATTGCCATGCATTTGAGGCCAGCTTTGGCTACACAGTGAGTTCAAGGTCAGCCTGAACTGCATAATAAGATCCTGTTTCAAAATTATTTTTTCTTTTCATAGTTGACAAATAATATTGTATTAATGTTTTGATTTGCCTTTTTTGAAAATTATATAGTCAGAAGTTCATTTTCCCTGGATGCTTATTGGACATGTGTACTGTATTCCTGTTAGGTCTGACCTTGTTGAAATATGACCTTTATCGTTTTCACACTTCTAGGCTATGTCTCTGAGCTGTATCTTTTTCCTTTTCATCTAGAGAGAAATTCTTGACTGAGCCCAGACAGGTGAGAACTCAAACCCACAGGGAGAAGTGGACAGGACCTGTATGAGCAGGGCATGCCGAGGGTGAAGGTCTATCTGTAATAACATGGGTGTTCCCAATGTTTGTGTTCCGAATTCTACTATTCATGAAATCCCTACCTTGGAGGCCAAGACTTAATTTCTTAATTCTCCCAGTTCAAATATTTACTGTCTTTTAATTTTTTCACTACAGACATTTGGGGGGGAAACTTCTGTGGATATTGTAAGAAAGAAAAGGAAAGAGGGAGAGAGGGAGGGATAGAAAGGAAGGAAAGAAAGAAGGGAGGGAGAGAAGGGAGAGGGCCCAGGGAGCCTTCCCGGGAGCCTGACCCAGCGCGGGAACCGACACTGGGCAGGCTGCAGCCAGGGCCAGGTCTCGGCTGGAGCCTTGGCTCTGGCTTTGGGTGGGCAGAGCCCGGACACTGTGGAGCATGATGCCCTTCTGAGCTTGGTCGGGGATGTAGGCGAGCAGTGCTGTGTGCTGACACTGGCACCTGGCGTTGGTCTGACCTCACTGGACACTTTGAGGGCCTTCGCTGTCCAACACCTGCACTCGAGGTTCGCCTGCATCTCCCTCAGGCCTTTCTTGGGGTGCCTCTTGGCAGACACATAACCCTCAGGACTTGGGCTCTGTCTGCTGGGGAGGCGTAACTTCACAATGGAGCTTCCTTTCTTTCTTTTATAAATTTTCTTCCTCTTTCTTTCTTTCATCCTTTCCTCCTTCATTTTCTTTCTGTCTTTGTCTTTTTTTCTTTCTTTGTAGTCCTGGAGACCACACCCAGGGCCTGTGCATGCTGGCAATTGCTTGACCATGGAGCCACACCCCGGCCTCTGTGACTGGTTTCTTGATGCCATCTCTGTACCCTTTTCAAGACTAGAAGGTTGTGAGGGGAAGGGGTGTTGGACTGGGCTCTATCTACACTGTCAACTTTGTCTCCGAGAGCATCTGGGACCTAGCAGGGAAGTTCTACTGTATCATTTTCAGAGTAATTGTTTTATTGTCTTTATTCTACCTAAAAATACAAAGAAAATTCTTACATCTTCATTTCTTGCTCTTCGGTTGTTGTTGCTGCTGTTTCTGTGATTTTTGTTTTCTGAGACAAGGTCTCAGTATTTAGCTCATGATGGCCTCAAAATCATAGCAATCTTCCTCCCTCGGCTTCCCAAATCTGGTTTATAGACACGCACCACCACGTATGACTGCTGCCCGGTTTTTTAATCTATAAAATACTCTTGATCTAGGCACAGTGACTTGGGAGGCTGAGTTAGGAAGATCACAAGATCAAGGCCAGCCCAGGCAACTCAGTGAGATTCTGACTCAAAATCAAATTTTGCAAATGACTGGGGCAGCCAGGTGTGGTGGCGCACACCTGTGATCCCAGCTCTCAGGAGGCCGGGGTAGGAGGATCAGTGCACGTTCAAGGCCATCCTCCACTACACATCGAGTTCAAGGCCAGCCTGAACTACAGAGTGAGAGCCTGTCTCAAACAACAAACAAACAAAAATGGCTAGGGATATGGTTCAGTGGCTGAGCAACAGTTTACCCAGCATAAGTTCAATCCTCAGTATTGTTAAAATAGTTAAACTGTTCAGTTTTCCCAGATCAATCCTCAGTATTAAAAACAGAAAACTACTTGAGTAAGAAAACATCAATGAGGATGTAAATACCAGCTCCGGACATTTTCATTTCTGTGTATCAGCTGCCCTGGTTCCAAATGCCCAAACACAGAACTGCTCTTTTCATGCGTTCCAGAAGCTTGTGATAATCCTTCCTCCAGGCATGTCTGTGAGGTTGTCTCACATTTTGCCATCACCCATCTTCTGTCCCTCGACTTCTCAGGTGTTTTTAGGTAGTTAGTATCTGTTTCTGTTTTTAACATTTCACTTACCTTGGTATTATGAAAAATACCAAACATGCACCAAACGGAGAGACTAGTATAGCAAAGGCCTAAATACTCTTCGAACTCATTCAAAATCCCCACTCAAAATCAGCCCTTTCATCTACACCCCATCCTCAGGGGCACGTTTTCCTCTTTAGCTCCATTTAAAGTGGCAACTGCTTTGCTTTCAGGAGAAGGCAGCTTTTTCTTTAGTAGCTGTTTAGATGTGGAATATGCATTCCATGAATGAGAGTTCAGTGGCTTTCCAACCTGTGCCATCGGTGCCATAACCTAATTTCAGAACATTTTAGTCATCCCCAGAGAAAGATTGTGCTCTTTGGCAGCCACTCGGCATCTCTGTCCACAGAGCTTTGTCTCTTCTGATATTCATAAAAATGGCATGTACGGTGCATAAGAAGTGCTTCCTTAGGTGTCTTTTCAATTATTTAGCCTAATGTCAGAAGCGCAAAAGCCATCTAGCGTCTCTGTGTTGTCCGTCTGTCCTCTTCACATCTGGACTCGGCATCTACCCTGCTTTCGGGAGTGGCGTGGCGTGGGGGGAGGCAGTCTCCATCTACTGTCTGTGCTTATTGTTCTGGACTCGCTTCTCACTTCAGTCCTAAAGTAGTGCTGTGTGTGGGAAGTTAAGCACAACATTCACTGAAGTGAAATAGAAAACCAGCTCAAGGATCCACACGTAAGACTTTCAAGTCTGTTTCCCTCTTCTCCTCCCCCTTTACAGATGCATTCAAAAAAGCTGGAATATACCCTCCCACGCTTCCTCTGATTGTCCAGTGCTCTATGGAAAATATTATTTACCGATCAGAACAAAACAAAATAAATGCCCTTAAAAGGAAAGACGCAATCATTGGAGGAGCCAAAGCTCACCCAGGCAGCCTCCCTCCCGTCCCGCCCTGGCCCACAGCAGGGAGGAAAAGCTCTGTGCCTGCGAAGACACTGGGGTGGATGTTTTTCCTCCTGAAGGAAAGCATGGTTTGGGAGTCCCTCTCTCCCTGCCGGCCTCATCTAGTGCTGGATGTAAGTACTCTGATTAGATATGCAGCCATAGGTTCGAACTTTAAAATTGGAAACGTTGGGAGAGCGACAAGGGAAGAGGAGGAGGAAAGGAAAGAAGAGAAAGTGAGAAAAGAAGGAGAGAGAGAAACAAGGTGTTTATAAAAGGGGAGAGTAGGGGGAATTGAAGGGAGGTGAGGGGAATGGGGGGAAAAGATCAAGTTGTACCACGAACAGGTACAAATTCTCTACGATGAATGTGATCATTATGTGTATCTAAAATGTACCACTAAAATCTGATTGGAGAAAAAAAGGAATAAAACTGTTACAACACACAGAGAAAGATAATAAAATAGGAAAAGTTTCTCAAGGAGACCTTACTGGCGATAGAGGTGGAGAAACAGGACTTGCCGTAGTGAGCGCCAGCCTTTCCTCGGGTCAGCGCCAGTCAGAGTCACAGCGCAGGCTTCTTCAGCCCTGTGGCTGCTGTCCCTTCCCACCCACTTCTGCTTAGCCTCCCTCACCTCTTCCCGGTCGGCCGCTCCATCTCTTTCCTCCAAAGCAAATTCACTTCATCTTGTGGGGTTTTGAAACACCCACGCATTTTGTGTGTTTATGCAACTGTTCAGAGAATGTAAGTTCTGTTTCTCCGTACAGAAGAGATAAGGCCTAGGGTGGTGGGATGCACTGGAAAGGCCAGTACCTGAGAGGCGGAAGCTGGACCATCACGTTGAAGACCAGCCTAGGCAGTTTAGCAAGACTCTGTTTCAAACAAAAGGAAAAGGGGTGGAGATTGCAGCTCAATGGGAGAGCGCTTGCCTTATATGAGTAAGGCCTTGGGTTCAAACCCAGCACCACCAAAAAAGGGGGGGAAAAGCCCATTTATTTTCCAGTATTTGTGATTGAACCTAGAGACTTTACACTGAGCTACACTCCTGTCATGGTTACTGCAATCTCTCCTTGCTGAGACAAAATACCAAACACCTTTGTGTGGAGGACCACGTGGACGACTCTTCTGGAATAAAGAGCAGCCACCTCCACTTTGGCTAAATCCAGCCCCATATCCGTGTACTGATGTGCACAGAGCTGGCTGAGCTGTTTCCTCCTCCCTTCAACTGGCTCTCAGCAATGTAACAGGGATGCTGAGGTGCTGATGTGTACTCTTTGAAGCCAGGCGCTGTTTCCCTGCCCTAGTGTCTCCCTAAACATGGCTGAGCTGGAGGGACAGCAGAAAGCCAGCACACCAGGGCTGTCAACTGCTTCAAACCTGGAGATGAGATTGCTTAAAATTAGAATAATTTAGCCGGGCGTGGTGGCTCACACCTGTAATCCCAGCACTTGGGAGGCTGAAGTGGAAGGATCTTTGCAAGTCTGAGACCAACCTGGGCTACAAAGTGAGCTCAAGGCCAGCCTGAACTGCATAGGAGACCCCGTCTCAAAAAAAGACAAAAAAAAGTTAAAATAATTAGGTGATGTTTTCACGTATGATGAAATGAATGCATAATTAAAATATGAATATTATGTTGAAGATGATAGATTATGATAAAATTTTAAATATCATGGGATAGAAAAAAATGAATAAAGCAAAGAGAGAGAGAAGGAACAAAAAAAGTGAGATAAAGTCCTAGAAGAAAACTTTCAACTCAGAGTGACATATTTTGTAAAATTATCTTTCAAAGATGATGGACAAATAAGATCTTCCATGACAAAAACAAGCTGAAGAAACCCATGGCCACCTAATCAGAACTCAAAAAACTTTTTCCCAAGAATAGCCTTGAAAGAGATCATGAAAACTAGCAATGCCAAAGGGCTAGGAGAATGAGTACCCCAGGCAGGGTGAACAGCCAAGCAGGAGAATACAAGGGAAGCAGAAACAACAATTATACAGTGACAAGAAGAAACCCTTCAGTAATAACTCTCAATACAAGTGGTCTCAATTCCCCATCAAAAGATACAGACTGGACCCGGGGATATAGCTCAGAGGCACAGCACCTGCCTGGCAACCCCAGGTTCCTGAGTTCAATTCTTAGGACTCAAAAAAAATACAGATTGGTAGAATGAATCAATAAACAAAATCCCCAGTATGCTATATACAAGAAACACATTTACCCAAAAAGAGTCACAGACTAAAAGCCAAAGAATGGAAAACAATATTCCAGGCAAGGGAAACCCAAAAACAAGCAGCAGTAGCTATCATATTTTCAGAAAAAGGGGACTTTAAGTGAAAACTGATCAAAAGAGGCAAAGAAGGTCACTACATATTGGTTGAGGAAACAACTCAACAGGAAGAGATAACAATTACAAACATATACACACTGCACCTGGGCACCTCAACTTCAAAGCACACACAACTAGACACAAAGATCAGATAAACCTTTACACAATTGTAGTGGGAGACCTCAGGACCTCACTGTCACAAATAGATCCACTAGACAAAAACTCAACAAAGAAATGTCAGAGGTGAGCCACACCTTTGAACAAATGAATGTAATAGAGATCTACAGAGTTTCCACCCAGCAGCAACAGAATACGCATCCTTAGCAACACGTGGAACTTTCTCCCAAGTAGGTCATACATCAGCCCATGAAGCATGTGTAAGTAAATAGGATAGGATTGAAATTATTCAATACATATTATTAGATCACAGTGCAATGAAACTAGAAATCAATGACAAAAAACCCACCGAAATTATACGAATGTCTGGAAATTAAACAATACCTTCTTGAATAATCAATGGATCACAGAAGAAATTAAACAGTTCCTAGGCTCAAACAATAGTGCCTGTACATCTCTCCCCTGATGATGGAAGGCTGGGCAACATGGAGAGCTAGGCAAGATGGCACCTCCCAAGGACACTCCCAGTATGCACAGGTGATGGCACAGATCCCAAACAATAGGGAAATCACAGAGCATGAGCCAAGGGTTATAGATCGAATGTTGTAATATGCTTTCTGATATATGACTATAACTCTTTATGATGCAAAGACGTATTCAAGCCATGCTAAGAAACCGAATGCTGATGCAATGATCAGACTGGCAATCCAGGGTCCTGCTGACCAGTCTTTTATCTCTCCTCCCCCGAGAGATTTTTTACTGGATTTTGCAAGGCAGAAAATCAAATACCTTTGCCACTGAGTAAGCCATATGCAGGACCTAGAGTACCACTGCTTAACAGCTCCTAAATACGGGCGAAGTCTTTAGTTAAAAAGGGACCCAGTCAAAGATGACTGGTTCCGCGATTAGGCATTGCAGCTGTTAGTACAGACCTACCAGTCCTACTGCAGCAGAATCCATCCCAAGTAAAGTTTTAAGGCCAGCGTCAGCGACAAGCCAAAGGCTCCATCTTCTCAGGTCACAGCCTTCAAGCCAGTTCTGGCAACTACTGCAGTTCAGAATGTTTTCATTAATCCCTTAATGATTAGATTTAAAAATATCACTACCACCAACACAAAGCACAGCCAATGAACCAAACCCACTGAAAATAAAACAGGGAGATGATGATGACAGTGGTACTATGTAACAGTGCAGTGTGCGCTAGTCCAGATGCATTTTAAAATAGAGCTGATTTTGAGCCTGTGTAACAAGATAGAGCATTCTAGATCTTGCTTTTATCTTAGAAAACTTAAATACAGCTTAAATATTTTTCAATTAGTTTAAATTGTTAGATTTCTTTAATAAGAATATAAGTGTTTTCTCATTCGGCTTCAAGTACAAAAGTTAAAAACTTGTTTCTTAATAGTTTTATTCTGGTGAGTAGCTGTGAGCGTGGCAGGCTCCGGCGGCCCAGGCTGGGAGCCTCCGGAGTTTACTGGGACCTGCGCCATGCCGGGACCTGGAGCTCTAGGGGAACCACGCAACCCCTCCCCCTCTGCCAGTTTTGTTTTGTTGAACTTCAATATACATGAAAGTGTGGACAGCTATTTTGAAGAGAACGAGAGACTCTACGACAGCCATTAGTGACTTCCCTATTGTCTGGTTTTGAAGACCTAAAACGCCTTCCTCATTCTGTTCAGATCAGTTTTATACTATGTTGTTTTGTATGAATTCTCTGTATGCGAAAACATGGACAACTATTTGGAAGAAAACAAGAGACAATATGATAGACAGTGAAGATCTCAGATCGTCTAGCTTTGAAATTTATATCTCTTACATTGCTTTCTTATGTCCTATTTTGTTCTGTTTTGTTGCGTTTTACTCCCTTTAAAATAAAAATTTAAAAATAATTTTATTAATGTCAAGTGCTACCGTGCCAGTTCTATTTTTGAAAGCAGTTTTCTGCCGTTTATTACTGACCGTAGCACTGAATTCAGTTTCCCAGCCTCGCTGCTAAGTCTATCATTGATTTCTAACCTGCATTTAAGTAAGTACTTTCTTTCTGTAAGGTAAAAAGTATCGCTTTCATCATCACTCTTTCCACTGAGTCCCAGAATTCAGGAACCATGTTTTGGAGAGGCAGATGCAGAGATTCTAAATCCATGTGGGAAGTGCTGAAGTTCCTTGGTCTTCCCTGCTTCTCCACCCGAACTCCTTTCTAGTTCCCATTTGTTTTCTGTACCAGTCACCTACAGGCTTATTTCTCCCATTGCCCTTAAATTTAAAAGGTTATAACTGGGCTTTTAAATGCCATCCCTGATAATACAGCTCAGTGACATTTCCGTATCTTTAAAACCTGTTTTACATGTTCTAGTTTACTTGAATCTGAATGTTTGCTTTTTACTCCACACCAAAGTAGGAATTGGGTTTTACCCCTTCCCTTTCATCCCTGTTGGATTTATATGCTTTTGACATGTAGTTTTGGGTCAGTTACACTCACTGTATTCCAAGTTGATAACTCTATCACAGTTCACTATTTTAATTTAGTAGAGCTGCGATAGTTTCAAATCTGCCTTGATCGTAATTTACGGGACCTAACTCTGAAGTCACTGAAGGCCAGATGTTTTCTTCCCACCGCATGCACCTACGCTGTCACTCCTGCCTACACCCTCTACTACTGTAACCCAGACCACCTTTGCAGTTCGTTGGCGAAGACGTCACACATGAGGGCGGGTCGGACCCAAGGCGGACTCTATGACAGGTCCCTCCTCCACGAGGCCAACAAAGGAGCCAAATGACCTCCTGTGACTTGCTCTTCGTAAGTTTCCCAGTAATGCTGCTAAACACCTTCCCGTTTACACATCTAAGAGTCTTACTGGTAAGACTGCAAAGCTTTTGAGAATGTGCAAAGGCTCGTTTTACTTAGTTTAAATAAGTTTTGGCATGTCTGCCTTAGGAATACTCATGCAGAATTTTCTGAAGTAAATCTTCATAAGTTAAAGTTTGAACCGAGGATCCTCAATACTTAGTCATAAGTTTCATCTTAGGATGCTGCTTGAGATCTGAGAAATAGCCCAGTACCAGGGAAGAATGTCTCATCACAGTTTGAGTGTTTAAGGACGTCAGGGAAAGATGCTCTGAAAACTTTTTTAAAAGTCTGACTGACATCATAGGAGAGAAGGTTCACTGTGCAGCATAGACAGCACTACTCGAACGCTCTCAGGCGTGTCAGAGGGCCTACATTCTAGTACTGGCTTCGTAACTTACCAACCGTGTGACCTCCTGTCACCTCTAGGCCTTGCTTCCTCACTAGTAAGAGGAAATTAACACCTCCCTTAGCTACCTCACAGGGATGTTGTGAGGGCTGACTGATGTAAGTGAAGTCTTTCAGAATTATAAATGCATTCAAAATTATTATTAATGCATTTTTTTCAAGGTTATTTTAAAAAATTATGTTTAAAAAGTAATAATGCCTGTGTGACACACCAGACCTAAGAGACAATGCAAGCAGTCCTAAGGAGGGAGGTTTATGGCCAGGAATGCCCACGTCAGGAAGACAGTGAGCCTAATAATCTAATGATACTGCTCGAGATTCTAGAAAAACAAGAATTATCCAAATCCAAATATACTACAAAGACAGAAATTACACACACACACACACGGGGGATTTGCTACTTTTAATTAAGCTAATTGGTACATCAGATATAATGATCACACTCATCATGGGGAGTTTGTACCTGTACTTGATATATCTTGATTCTTTTCTGCTTCCCATTTCTCTCCCGTCTTCAACCCTCTTCCTCTCCTGATTTACAAAAGTTTCGTTTCCATGTTCTCCTTTTCTTACTTTTTCCTTTCCCTTCCTTCCTTTCCCTTAATGAACGTCATTTCTCTTCTCTTCCTCTGGCACTCAAGAGCATCCACAAAGGGGAAGAACACCCTTAGGAAGGCACTCAGTCCCTCTCTTCTAGAAAACCAAGATGAGAGCTCGTGCTGGAGGAATAAGCCCCACGGGCCTCCCGACGCTCCCCCCGACCTCGGGTCCTCCAACCACATACACCACCAAAGGCCCAGCCTGGCAGCACCCACCGCCGGCCTCTCAGCGTGCACCCCCTCCCAGCCCCAAGAAGACTCAGGCGGGCGCTACGGTGCTGCACAGCAGTCCTCCAATGCCCTGAGAATGTACAGTGTGGCTTGGGAGGACATTTTGGGGTGTAGGGGATGCTGATCACTGGGAAGGGCAGAGCTGGAGAGGTGCTTTGACGTCCTTTGGAGTTTGAGGTCATTTTGCAGTACCTCCCTTCTTTCTCAAGGCCAGTTCAGAGCCAGGGGAAGGGGAGGGCATCAACCTTAAGCTCTTAACATTTGCCAGGCCCTTTACACAAATCTCATTAGATTTCCCAACCAATTATTAAACCCATTTTACAGAGAAGGAAACTGAGGCCCAGAAAAGGTGGTTTATCCAGTATAGCACAGCTAATTAGTGAGGAAGCTGTATCCCAGGCCTGTATGTTCCAAAGGTTCTGCTTACAGCCCAACCTGATGGGGATAGGGCCCTAGACTCAGAAAAAGAGCTGCTTCTCTCCAGCTGAGAAGGCTCTTCAAGAATCAAAAAGTTTTCATGATCATTTGTAAAGCTTTAATGGGTTGTAAAGGAGGCCCACTGTTGATTACCAGCTATAGGGTCACTCTAACATTACAGCTTTTGCCATGAGAACTTTCCCGACCTGTTTATGGCTGGAGTATCACGCAAGAACCCAGATGTGGCTTAGAAGCTATAGAAGCTCAGGGTGAGCTGTGTCAGGTATCTGCAAACAAACTCCTTCTCCAGGGATTAAGAGGCAGCGAGAAGGTGCAGCTGAGGAGGAACTCAGTTCAGTGGGAATCCTCGTTGGCGAGGCTATCGGGGGCTCCGTGGATTAACGTCAGCGCCTACGGTGTGGAATTGTTAAGGGCAAGAAAAGCAGTCTTTACCCCTCACATCTGGAGACCAGACTAGCTGAGACACCCTGTCCTGATGATGTCAGTGTCACCTGGCCTCTCCTAGATCATCAGAGCACACGGACATGTAAAAGTCAAGGCTGCTGGCCTTCACAGTAGACAGAGAGAACAGCAGCCTCAGGTGCAGGGAGAACCACTTTGGGAGGACCTCCCGATCCGAGCAGGGCTCCTTAGGGTTCTGCTGGCACAGGAAGCAGGACTTCAGTGACTGCCAGGCCTCCAGAGGCCTCACGTGAAGAAGTAAGAGGGTGCAGGGAGAGGGTCCTTTACAGGAGTGCTGAGTCCCCGGGACCACGGGGAGGCTGCTCACGGCACACCTGATGCAAAACAGCATCGGGGCCTCTGGCGCGGAATCTTTACAATGCTGAAGGAAAAAAGTATCAAGATCCCCAAATGTATTCCAAGACACGAAAATTTCAGATGACAGAACAAAATGTCTCCGTGAATCACCAAAGCAAAGAAGCTGCTAGAGAGAAATGAAGAGCAGTGAACTACGTTTCCAAGGAAACCAAGGACGGAACTGTAGGAACGCTGACACCGAGTGCGCTAGAAACCAGCAGACTGCTTCGGTGGCTTCTCATGCTGTGAGGGGAAACTCACAAGATACCAGCCCTCCCTTCACAGGGCGACTGCGGACACACCAGCAACGGGAGGCGGCTCCCGAAGACCTCGCACAGGAAGGCAACACGGTTTCCAGAAGGAAACAGGTTAATGTGTGTTCTGAAGGGACGAGACGGTCTGGGGGTCAGTTTAACACGGGCTGCAACCCTAACTTTGCGACTGCCACATACATTTGGGCAGCTCTTTAATCTTATCAAACCTCAGTCTTCGCACATGAGAAACAGAAACAGGACTTAAGAGGGTTAAGGACTAAATGAAGTGCAGACAATGTTACACACGTGGCACACATGAAAGCTCATGGATACTTTTCTGAGTAAAATCTAAATAAATGTCATCCACATTAAAAACCAACTTTGGGGGGCTGGGGATTTAGCTCAGCGGCATAAGCACCTGCCTTGCAAGCAGGCGGTCGTGAGTTCGATCCCTGGTACTGATAAAAACAAAGACAAAAAAAAAAAAATACTACTTAAAATTTGAAATTTTAAATTCAAAAATTGACTTTGAAGGTTAAAGATCTTTTTTTTTTTTTCCCAAAAAGGACTGGAGAGTGCCCATGGGTCTTGAACCACCGGACCAATCGGCCTGGGCGGTTGGGAAGCCAGACTCGAAGGAATCGCTGGGCTAAAGCCAGCCCTAAAGAATTTTTTTAAAAAGACCGTAATATGTGTTTATGGAAGAATGATGCAACTATATTTTAAGCAACCACCTATCCTTCCGCCCTGATTCTCAGAGCATGCTTTGCACCACTCCACACTGACCTGCAAAGAACTTTATGGTCCATCACTTCACTCACATTTAGCCAGATTACAAACTGCTCTGGTAAACACTGCTGCCAAACTACCCATTACATTCCGCGGCTTACGTTCTGGAGAGATCCCTGAAGACCTAGCAGTCAAAGGTGGCAAAGCAAAGGCAGCGGCTTCAGGGGCAGAAATCAACCACAAATTTAACCCTACCCTGGCCCAGGGCGCTAGCTCGGCCGCAGTGGAGAACATAATTTGGTTGCTTGTACATCAAGACTGGCTGATCTCAGAAGCTGTGGAGAAGCAGCTTAAGTTCTCAAATGCATTTGAAGTGTTTTCCTGAGAACAAGATGAAAACAAAGAGACCCCAGAGTTCAGTGAGCAAAGGGCAGACTTTTACCTCATTGCCAGGACTTTGCTGCTCAGAGGGGGTGAGAAAAGCAGGTGGCACAGTTCTTAGAACAAATGAAAGGCATCTGGAATGCTGAATACACCTGCCGAGGAGGGCAGACAGCAGACAGGTAATGCAAGAGCCTTAACACCGCCCCAGGGGACGCTGTTTGGCAAAACTGTCACACAGTTTAAGATGACATGGTGTAACAGAGCCCTCTCTGTGTCCCCCCCCACACACACACACACCCGGTCCCTGAGCATCTATTAGCAACTGCCAGGCAGACACTGACAGGCCGCAGTACCCGCCTTCCCTCACCACGTCCCTCCCTTTTCGCCTGCAATATTGAAAATGGCATAAAACCAGAGAAGATGGAAAAACTAAGTAAAAATAAAAGAAAAAATTACTCTGAACAGAGATGTGAGGTTGTTAAATTCAAGACAAGAAGGTAGACATTTTCCCTGTTTTTCTGAGACAGGGTCTCTATGCAGCTCAGGCCAGCCTCCTGAGCACACCAAGCGTGGTGCTACGGTTTGTGTGTAGATGTCCCTCAAGCCTCACGTGGTCGCGGTGGGGCAGGTGGCCGAGTCTGGCATTTGTGCTTGGCTCACTGTCTAGCGCTGGGACTGGCGGTGTGAGCGCTCCAGTAGCCACCAGAAACAAAGGGAGGTCAGCAGGGGTGCTTTGCCCTTTGGGTTCCTGATGCTTGCAGCCAGCCACTGTGCACAGCTGCTCCTTGGCCACGTCACCCTTCCTCTGAGCCAGCAGAGTACGGGCTGAAACATGGAAAACTGTTATCTAAATAATCCTTTCCTGCCTTCATTTTGGGTGTATTTTATCCCAGCAATCAGAGAAAAGTAATCCAGACGCCTGGCCACTCTTGTATTGTGATCAGGGTGGTGACACCAAGGGAGCTTCATATGCCAAAACTCACAGGTCTGAGCCACTTAAGAGCTGTTTCACCCCCAAAATGACTACCTGCATGAAAACAGTGAGGCACAGCTGTTTGCTACCCTTTATTAAGAGGCCCCATATCCTCACTGAACTTCAGCCACACCAGACAGGTCCCCCAAAGATAGCCTAGAAGGGGAGGGAAATGACTTATGATCCCACCATACCTCCCTGGAAACAAACCCACCACAGACAGACAGACAGACAGACAGACAGGGGCCAGGGAAAAGAACTGGCCTCTCAGTTCTCTCCCTTTTGCACCCATGTGAAAAGAAAGTCAAACACTGACCACGCAGCGTCCAGCCCCCACCCCACCCATAGCAGCGTTGGTGGGGCCCCCCTCTGCAAGGGGCGACCCCAAGGCAGCTCTATGCTCTTCCTTCACTTTGGTTTACTCCTGGCAACTCCGTGCCCTCTCCTCCACTCGGCCTCCAGCTCCGTCGCCGCGTCCCCGTCTTCGTCACCTGCTCAGACCCTCTCTCTCCGCTCTGGGCTCCCTGCCCCAGGGCTTCTGGGAAAGCAGCATCTTGGGGCCTCCTTCCTCCCAGCACAGCCTGGCCAGGCCCTCTCTGCCCAGGACACGGGAATCACACTGCTGCCCCGCTCTCCTTGAGGTCAGGGGCCGAGCGCTGCCGTCTCATTCGCGGCGGTGTGGTGTATGGGGGGTAACGGGGCCCCGGGGGCCTCTGGGTCGGGTAAGGTTGGGGCTGCTGGGCATAATAGTTGTGCTTTTTGGACTGGAAGTTCTGGGCTTCTGGCTGTGTGGAACCCCCTCCCCGGGACCGGCTTCCTCCATCCAGAGAGTTTCTTCGGGGACGGTGCGACCTGCGGGGACTTGGAGGCCTGCGGGCAGAAGAGGCTGGCGATGGAGTGACTTCCTCTGGAGGCTGGGGTGGAGCTGGGGCCTCCCCGCTCCCCACTCCTGGCCAGGACTCTCGGTGCTGGGGGTTGCTCTTAAAGGGGAAGCGCAGCTTGCAGTCGTGAGGGGGCACGAAGCGGGCTGGGGGCCTGCGCAGACCCCCGCCCCGGCCCCCGGAGCCCTGCAGTCCCTGCAGCCGCAGCTGCTCCTGCTTGAGCCAACGAAGGCGACCTCGGCGGAAGGCAGGGTCCTCCTCCATCAGCCTGGACACACGCTCCCAACTGGACAGGGGTGGGGAGGGCGGCCGGACTGAGGGTGAATGGTCACCAGACACTGCTTCCTCTGCTGCCGCTGACCCTTCAGGTGGGGCCCAGGCGACCTCACCAGACTCGTTCTCGTCCTCGTGATCCTGGAAGGGAAAGAAAGGGGTGAAAGGAAAGGACAAGCAGCGTGGCACAGCTGAATCCCGAGGCCACGTGGACCTGAGAGAGGAACTTGGCAGTGCTGGGGTGACCGGATGAGAAGTGTCCAGAGAGGAACACGGAGACACGGATGCCGGACTGCTAAATGGCCACGAGCACAGGCTGGCTCTGACGCTTTCAGCCATGCGGTCAGATCCTTGTGGCCTCTGTGCCTGTTCCCTCCTCTGTGCAACACTATCCAGCAACAGCACCTGCAGCCCACTGTTTCTATCTCAGAGGGAGAGCAGAGCAGGCAAGCGGGGCAGGAAGCCATTATAGGGACGGCCACAGAGGTGACCAGGAAGGGATTCACCAAGATGTCATCAGGGTAGTCAGGACCTGGAAACAGGAAGAAGCTGTGTGGGTGTCTGGGGAAAAGCATCGAGGCAGAGGGAACAACGGATACAAAGCCCTGTGACCGGAGCACTCCGAGGTGCACTCTGAGCTCAAGGCAAGTGGAGTGGCGCAAGCAGGGCCAGAGGACCAGAAGCTGGCTGGGAAAGAAGCCCCAGTCACTGGAGCCACGGGCATGAGCACCTGCTGTCCCCACCGCCAACACCACCACCACAGAAAACCCAACAGATCAGAACCTTGTTTTAAGTAACCCCAGTGGATCACACAAGGGATCAAATACAGATGTGCTGTGAAAAAATGCAGAGCAGGAAAGCTGCCAGCACTACCTCCCACAGAGCCGTGGTGAGGATCAAGGAGGGGCACAGGAGCCGCACTCAGGACTGCGACCACCTCAGAGCCACCCATCGGCCAGAAGGGAGACGCGGCAGAGTACACACAGCATCTTTCAAGTGTGCGGAATCATCGCGCACTTTGCTATCAGTGGTTCTCAAACTGTGTTCTACTTCAGAAAACCCGGAACTCATACACACAAATTCATCCCCAGAGATGTGGCTCCAGGAGGCTGGGGCAGAACCCAGGAGTCTGCATTTTTAACTTGCAGCCTGGGGACTGCAAGGCACATGATTCATAAAAAACTCTTTTAAGAAAAGCTGTTAAACTTCACACACTTTTATCAGAGGGGAAGGAGGCAGGGACCCGAGGGCAGATGCGGACTCCTCAAGAAGTGCGGAAAGAGGTTGCGAGGGGAGAGGCAGCTGGCGCAGGCAGCCTACCTGGGCCAGGGGGATGACCCGCTCCATGCGGAGCATGCGGTCCCGCAGGGCCTGCAGCTCCCGGTCCTTGCTGCTGTTCTGCAGCTTCACCTCCTGCAGAATCCCGGTCAGCTTGTCGATGTGAGCGCGAAGGTCCTCCACCTCTGCTCCTCGGGCTCCCTCCTCCCCTCCTCCACTGCCACCTCCGCCGCCGCCGCCTTCTTCCTCGCCCACGGTATCCCAGACATCCCGGGCCACAGCCCTCCAGGCATCTCCAGGCCCCTCGGGCTTGCCGTAGGTGCGACACAGCTCCCTCATCTTGAGGGCGGCCAGGGCCTCAATCTCAGCCCGCCCGTGGCGGAAGTCAGCCAGAGCCACCTCATAGCAGATCTCCTTGACTGCCTGCATCTTCAGGTCAGCCATGGTGGCCCAGCGGGGGTCTTTCCCCTGCAGACGCCGCCTCTGCGGGATCTGGTAAACCCTGCGAGGGGCCCTGCGCTTGCCACTGCTGGGCAGGCCACAGCGCTTGACGATGGTCTGCACCGTGGTGGGGGGCAGCTGCTCCCTCAACGAGGAGATCAGCCGCCAGCTCTCTTCACAGGACCGCTTGTCGGAGTCGTCCCCGCTGTCGGAGTCTGCATACTGGGGTGGGAGAGAGTGAAGACGGACTGAGCACCTCCCGAGCCAGCCCTCTTCAGACTCCAGGGAGACCCCCGCCAGGGCGCCTGGGTTCAGGTCCTGCGTAAGTCCTCAGGAACCACGAAGCCTAGCGGGCCTGAGTGATCTCTGCTGCCCTGGACCATGGAGATGATGGCAGCATCTACTTCACAGACAGGCTGGCAGGTTACATATTCACCACAGGGGATGACACAGGGAAAGTGGTCATAAATATTAGCTGTGGTACACCAAGGCTAAGATTCTGGGTCCATGTTGCTTAGTCACAGGGACACATTGTGAGAAACGTTCCTCAGATGACTTCATCATCGTGTGAACTTCACGGAACGTACTGACATGTGTTACTAGTAATATAATCTTTTTTTTTTTTTTTCTGTCTTTTTGAGACAGGGTCTCACTGTGCAGTTCAGGCTGGCCTTGAGCTTGCTTTGTAGCTCAGGCGGGTGGTCCTCCTGCCTCAGCCTCCCGAGTGCTGGGATCACAGTAGTAATATAATCTTACAGTACCACCATATTATACGAAGTCCATCAGTGCCTGAAGTATCAGGCAGAGGGGCCAGGGATACTGCTTAGCAGGGCAGCACCTGTCTAGCAAGAGTGAGCTCCGGAGTTCTATTCTCAGTACCCACACACACAAAAAAAGTCAATCTACTGGATCAGTGTAAAATAATCCCAGTTTGTTCATTTTGCCAGGGATATAGCTCAGTGGCATAATGCCTGCCTGGCAAGTATGAGGCTGTGACTTAGATTCCCAGTACCAAAAGAAAGAAAGAAAGAGAGAGAGAGAGAGAGACAGAGAGAGAGAGAGTGAGAGAGAAAGAGAGAGAGAGAGAGAGAAAGAAAGACAGACAGACAGACAGACAGGCAGGCAGGGCAGTCACATACCACGTGATATCACATTACTACTCCAATCAGCTTACAGATTTAAAAGCCCATTAAAGAACAATATTATGGCCAGTACAGCGGCACACACTTGCAATCCCAGCACTCCAGAGGCTGAGACAGACGGCCTGCCATGAGTTGCAGGCCAGCCTGTGCTACATAATCAGTTCAAGGCCAGCCTGGGGGGGGGGGGGACAACCTTATGTACATGACAATACTTAGATGCGGTGACAATCACTAAGGTAGCAATGGATCAACTGGAGAGTGGAGATCCCTGGTCAACTGGAGGGACTGTAGGGTCCCCACCCTACTGTCCCATCACGTTTCTCTCATCTCTTCCTCTAGATGCTGCCCACACCTCAGCCCACCGCCACTTGGGCTGGAACAGCAGCACGCTGGACACAGCCGGGCTGAGGTGCTGCCGCTCGGCTCCGGCTCCAGCTCTGCCTGCCCCACAGCACCTATCTCCTTACCAGCCGC